AGGCATCCCTTCCTGCCTAGTGTTCTTGGTAGCTAGTACACAGGCAACTCCTGCTTAGCATTGTAGGTTGCTGGGGTGCAGTTGCCAGTGGAAGTCAATAGGCTGCCTAGTACCCTTGGTTGCTGGAACACAGGTGATTACTGTCATCTAGTGTCCTAGGTTGCTAGAAAGAGGTGACCCCTGTTTCAGTGTCCTTGGTTGTTAAGATGCAGTCACCAGTGGTGGACATAGGCTGCCTAGCACCCTTGGTTGCAAGAACACAGGAGGCTCCTGTCACGTAATGTCCAAAGTTCATAGAAAGCAGGTGACCCTCGCCACCTAGGTTGGTTGCAAGAAAACAGGCAGCTCCTGCCTAGGATGCTGGAATGCAATTCTCAGTATAGGTCAATAGGCTGCCTAGCACCCTTGGTTGCAAGAACACAGGAGGCTCTTGTCACCCAATGTTCAAAGTTCCTAAAAAGCAGATGACCCTTGCCACATAGGGTCCTTGGTTGCTAGAAAATAGGCAGCTCCTGCCTAGGATGCTGGAATGCAATTATCAGTGTAAGTCAATAGGCTGCCTAGCACCCTTGGTTGCTAGAATACAGGCAGCTGGTGTCCTAGGTTGCTAGGATGCAGTCAACGGTGGTAACCAATAGGCTGCCCAGCCCCTTTGGTCGCTAGAACACACTAAGCTCCTTTCACCTGGTGTCTTCAATTCCCAGAAAGAAGGTGACCCTTGCCGCCTAGTGTCCTTAGTTTGTAGGACACTAGGCAGCTCTTCTTACCTAGTGTCCTAGGTTCCTATGCAGCAGGTGATCCCTACTGCCTAGTGTTCTTTGTTTTCTAGGATGCAGGCAGCTCCCACCTAGCATTCTAGCTTGCTGGGATGCAGTTGCCGGAGGAGTTCAGTGGGCTGCCTAGTGCCTTTGGTTGCTAGAATACAGGCAGCTACTGTCACATATTGTCCAGTTGTGCAGTTGCTAGTAAAAGCCTATAGGCTGCTTAGCACTCTTGGTCCCTAGAACACAGACAGCTACTGCCACCTAATGTTCTAAGTTGACAGGAGGCAGGAGATACCTGCTGTCCTTGATTGATAGGATGCAGTCATCTGCGGTGGCCAATAGGCTTTATTACCACTATAACCGTGTATGCATGTAAACGTTATACATACATTTAGTGAATGAGGAAAGAAAAAACAGAGGGCGCACAGGCCTAGTGCATTACCATAACAAATGTTTAATAAAAAATAAAGTATGTGTTGTACTCACAAATGACAATGTAGTCAAGGCACATCATAAAGAACAGCTGGGTCAACACCGTGCTGAGTAACAGTCCGTAATAGGGAGTATAGACATCCAAAAGGCTGATGCGTTTCGAGGACTTGCCTCTTCCTCAGAGCCAACTGACCAAATGTCTGCTCCCTCTTTTATATGCTCACTACTAGTTAAACCAAAGGTCACATGAGCCATCCTGGACACTCCCCTGTGCAGGTCCAGTCCTTCCCTGGTTATTTTATATATATGTGTAACTTTCCACTTATTTATTTTTCACTGTGCACACTTCTTATGGTTCATATGATTTTATGATTGTCACTAGTTTCAGTAGTTTTATTTATACACATATATATTTATATATATTTTTATAGACCTTTCGTGTTTACTTACACTATGTCGATTGCCCCTGTGACTCCTCCACCTGCACAGGGGAGTGTCCAGGATGGCCCATGTGACCTTTGGTTTAACTAGTAGTGAGCATATAAAAGAGGGAGCAGACATTTTGTCAGTTGGCTCTGAGGAAGAGGCAAGTCCTCGAAACGCGTCAGCCTTTTGGATGTCTATACTCCCTATTACGGACTGTTACTCAGCGCGGTGTTGACCCAGCTGTTCTTTATGATGTGCCTTGACTACATTGTCATTTGTGAGTACAACACATACTTTATTTTTTATTAAACATTTGTTATGGTAATGCACTAGGCCTGTGCGCCCTCTGTTTTTTCTTTCCTCATTCAGCATGTTTGGATTTTACCAGTCCATTTGAGGGCAGCAAGGTGTGCATGTTCCAGGACATTCCTTATGTGGTTGTAGCCTGCATCGAGTCCATCCCCAAGCGCAGGAGCATTTGTGTTTACATACATTTAGTGCCTGTGAGAATGAGCCCTTATTTATGTTCTCTATTCCTTTAGTAAATCAGCCCTGAAGACTGTACTGTATTAAACCAATGCACATAACCTATTATTACCAAACTTTTTATATGTGTTGTACTGATGAATGCTTCTATGCTTTAAAAGCATCTAATTTGTGATCACATTTCAAGAAGCGTTGATAGGTTGGAGCCCCGGTAAAAAAAAAAAAACAATATTTAAGTTATTACAAGTTGAGAGCTTCAGGGTGATACACAAACACAGCTTTTATTTTCAATCAATTTTCTGGACCATATAATTAAATTAAAATTTGTAGACCATATAATTATATCTTCGTTCCTATGAAAAGGGAACAACATGAGGTGATACATTCGGAAGGGATGATTGACAGGTCTGCTGATAAATGATATTGCTGGGACCCAGCACAGTCTGCATTTGAAAGAATTTTATCTTGTTTTGGTGGTGCGTCATGGAAACTGTCATCTAATGCATATCAGGTTTTTATGTCAATTTCAAATTTAAATATATTCAAAAAGCCTTAAAGGAGGCAGAATTGGTTTTGTTAATTTCTCCCTGAATATAATTGAACAAAAAATATCTCTGCTGGTTTGAAGAGGATGAGCTACCCGGTAATACGAGGGCTATGCCAGAAGTAATGCAAAAGTGGGTATACATTTTTTATTAACTTCATGTATGCAGGGCCATCTTTATTATTGATTGGACCCTGGGCAAACATTTTCTTGACCCCCCCCCCCCCCCTGCACTTTGCACCTCGGTCATTACACAGGACCCCCCTCCCCATATTACCCTTATTATCACATAGGTCCCCCCTCTCCCACCATTAGAAAGGATCCATCCCCCATACTTCCCCATCATTACACAGAACCCTCCCCCCATACTACCCCCCCATTATTACACAGGATCCCCATTCCACTTCATTACACAGGACTCCCCACCCCATGCTACCCTCATCATTACAAAAGACCTCTTCCTCCATCATTACACAGAACCCCTCCCCCGTTCCTCCCCCTACCCTTATTCCATAGGACCCCATCCCCTATACTAACCCCATCATTACACAGGACCCAGTGGGTGGAGAGGCAGAGAATGGGGTTGTCATTGAGGGTGCAGAGGCAGGGAAGGGGGTAATTCTTGAGGGTGGAGAAGCAGGGAATGGGTCTGTCATTGAGGGTGGAGAGACAGGGAGGGGGATTATTGTTAAGAGTAGAAAGGCAGGGGATGGGGATATTGTTGAGGGTGGAGAGGCAGGGAATGGGGTTGTCATTGAGGGTGGAGAAGCAGGGAGGGGGGTTATCCTTAAGGGTGGAGAGGTGGGGTGGGGATGGGGGTTATCGTTGAGGGTGGAGAGTCAGAAAGGTGGGTTATCATTGAGTGTGGGGAGGGGGGTTATTGTTAAGGGTGGACAGGTGGCATATTGTTGAGAGTGGAGCAGCGGGGAGCGGGGTTATTGTTGAGTGTGGAGAGGCAGGGAGGTGGGTTATCATTGAGGGTGGAGAGGCAGGGAGGGAGGTGATTGTTGAGGGTGGAGAGGCAGGGAGGGGGGTTATTGTTGTGGGTGGAGAGCTGGCAGTCGGTCAGTCCTGGTTGCCAATAGACTTCACAAGCATACCTCCTCCATATTCGACTATGGAGCAATGGATGGGAAATACAGTTTACTGTATGAATGGGGCACCAGTGAGCTCATTCTGATACAAGGCATTTTGACAAGGGGATGACTGCTGGGGGTAGCTTCCCCTAAACTGAAGGGGGGGGGGCATAGTTTGGATTCCTTGCCCTGGATGACCTTGTCCCAGCATTGCTCCCTAGACCAGGGGCGGACTGACCATTTGGAAACTCTGGCACTGCCCGAGGGCCGGGGGTCAGTAGGGGGCCCCATGAGATACCCCTGGTACCTTTTTCATAGGCTTTTTTGAGTTTGGCAAGGACACAGGGGCCCCATGATCCCCTATTGCCCGGGGGGCCCCATGAGTTGTCAGTCCGCCCCTGCCCTAGACTGTCAATATTACAGCCTGCCCCACCAGTGTACCCGAGAATTAAGTAAACACCCATGCCTGTGTCGCGAATGTCAATTTGGGTACAGCTGACCAGGCCCCAGACAGTCCCGTCTATGCTATGGGGAAGGGAAAGGTAAGTTCACCCTTCTAAGTTATTTAGCTAGCTATGTAAACTGATCTTAAATCAGAACATCACAGTATGCCAAGCATTAGTTTTATTACATTACCAGAAGGAGCTCAGAAATCAGTAGGGTGCATTTCCTAGGCATGCAGTTGCTATGTATTCTGATCTCTCCTGCTATTCAGGTCTGTCAGCAAAACATCTCCAGAATGTGTTTGTCCCTGCCTACAGCCTTACTACATGCTGGCAGTAAGGAGTGGATATAAAATAGGCATATGTGACCTTTTAAATTTACCTGTTATGTTTTTTTTTTTTTTTTTTAGTCTTGAACATAATAGCTAAATAAAACAATCCTTTTACAGGTATCTGAAATATCTGCACTCAAACAGCGGTCACAAAGGGGGTTAACGGGTTCATCTCAGGAAATACTGTGATACATTGCAGGAGCATATGTAGGAGAGAGTTTCGTCCTCAGCGCAGGTGATCCTTGTGGCTGTAACATTTCCGCTCTGGGGTTTTCTACTCAATCAATTCATGTTTATTGCAGGAAAAGTTCACCTGACATTTAGGGCTATCTGCCTGAATGAATAGCGAAGCCTCCGAGAAAACAGCAACTACTACGAGGAAAGATGAAGGCTTACCAACACCTGCTTCCAGATCTGAATAAGAAGGATATGATGCAAGTATTACACAGGATGAATAAAATAAAATTATATATATATATATATATATATATATATATATCTATATCAGGGGCGGACTGACAACTCATGGGGCCCCCGGGCAATAGGGGATCATGGGGCCCCGTGTCCTTGCCCACACTCAAAGCACACCCAAAAAAGCCTATAAAAAAAGGTACCAGGGGCATTTCATGGGGACCCCTACTGACCCCGGGCCCTCGGGCAGTGCCCGAGTGCTCGAATGGTCAGTCCACCCCTGATATATACATATACTGGGTATACACTTTATTGCCAAAAGTATTGGGACACCACTCCAAATCATTGGATTCAAGTGTAGTTATCACCTCCATGGCCACAGGTGTATACAATCAAGCACCTAGGCATGCAGACTGCTTCTACAAACATTTGTGAGAGAATGGGTCGCTCTCAGGAGCTCAGTGAATTCAAGTGTGGTACAGTGATAGGTTGCCACCTGTGCAATAGGTACATCCGTGAAATTTCCTTGGTACTAAATACTCCACGGTCAATGATTAGTGGTATTATAACACAATGGAAGCAACTGGGAACAACAGCAACTCAGCCACGAAGTAGGCAAAGCTTCGGATGCAGTGGTGTAAAGCACACCACCACTGGATCTAGAGCAATGGAGATGTGTTCTCTGGAGTGGCGAATCACGCTTCTCTGTCTGGCAATCCGATGGACATGCCTGGGTTTGGTGGTTGCCAGGAGAACAATACTTGCCTGACTGCATTGTGCCAAGTGTAAAGTTTGGTGGAGGGGGATTATGGTGTGGGTTAGCTTTTTCGGGGTTGAGCTTGGCCCCTTAGTTCCCGTGAAGGAAACTCTTAGGTGTCAGCATACCAAGACATTTTGGAAAATGTCATGCTCTCAACTTTGTGAGAAGTGTTTGGGGATGACCTCTTCCTGTTCCAAAATAACTGCGTATCAGTGTACAAAGCAAGGTCCATAAAGACATGGATGATTGAGTTTGGGATGGAGGAACTTGACTGGCCTGCACAGAGTCCAAACCTGGCAGAACACCTTTGGGATGAATTAAAGCGGAGACTGCGAGCCATGCCTTCTCGTCCGACATCAGTGCCTAACCTAACAAATGCGCTTCTGAAAGAATGGTCAAATATTCCCATAGACACCCTCCTAAACCTTGTGGACAGCCTTCCCAGAGGAAATGAAGCTGTTATAGCTGCAAAGGGTGGGGCCAACTCAATATTGAATGCTACGAACTAAGACGGGGATGCCATTAAAGTTCTTGTGCGTGTAAAGGCAGGCGTCCCAATACTTTTGGCAATATACTGTAATGTCTGTGACTTGTGTACAAATTAATACAATATTGCTCACAGTGCAATATTTCCAACATAAACATTCAAATTCAATAACAAATCATAAAGTCCACCAGGATAAATAAGTAAAAAGCCCCAAACCACCATTTTTCAGAACATTAGGTGACAACATCTTCTTTACATCCAGTAGTGCTTCCTTACGTGCACAGGTGAATTGCACATTTGCCAGATAGCTTTGGCCAACAGAGTAGCCAACAAGCATCAGATGTCAAATCCTGGACATGGAATAGCAGCTCTTTTAAATGGGAATCCTCAAAAAAGACCGTTCCTGATATAAATACGCATTCACCCAAAATGAGTATAAATAAATACCAAAGGGATCAACCATAGTGCAGTATGTTTTATTAAATTGAGGGTGGTTCAAATTTAAAATCAGTGCACTCACATATCGCAGGTGCCAGTAGGGACACCAACACAAACTAAGCAAACTGTTGGCGCTATATAAATCCTGTATAATAATAATAATAAATCGAGGGTGGTTAAAATTTCTAATCAATGCACTTACACATCGCAGGTGCCAGTACGGACACCAACACAAACTGCTCAATAGGGTCCTCTCTCCCTCACTGCCACTAGTATCCATGGTGCCGCCATGCATTCCAGGCGACCAGAAATGAAGTAGGTAAAGGACGGAAATGACATGAGCGGCTTGGCCTCAATGCATTTCGTGTGCAATGCATCCTCAGCAAGCTCAGACACCATTTTGTTGGAGATTTTATGAGTGGTTACATGCTGATTGGTCAGAATATATTTATTCACCCCAGGGCCACATTTGAACATATTGGTCCCTTAAAGAGCCTACTGAAGAGAAAGTGAGTTTGGCCTTAAGAAGAATTTGCAAAGGGGCAACCATGACATTCAGTCCAAGCATCGTCGCCACAGAGTTCACCATATTCCTAAAGATTTGAATGATGAAAAGTGTGTTGAATACCTGTAAGACCCCCTTCAAACTACAGCGTACACCCATGTGACGGTTGGGTTTACTTGCATGGGAATGCACAAGTGTTCATTATAACAACCAGTGTTCTAATGAGAAAAGCTGCAGTGTCTGTATCCCTATAAAAGTATTTAACCCTTAGGGAGTATCTCACCAAATTAGAAATTCCTATTGCAGAACATGTCTAAAATGTGATTTAGGACAGACGTTTGGGAAAATCAGTGAGACGATGGCACAAACAGAAATGACATAGCTAAGTATATTTTTGCATACTGTATTTCAAGGACATAAAAAGTTTTTTATTTAGTACACTGTTCAAAACTCCCTCTACCACTCTGAAGAACAGAGGTTCATACAGGTGCTTTCCATCAGGTATTGAAAACACCTGTGGATGTCACCGAGCAGCAATCAAGCATAATAAGCACCAATTAGGCAGCTTTAAAATGACTGTGATACTCATCTCACCTTCTAGACATTTACTGGTGTGGTTACAAACATGGTGAAGGCAAGAGAATGGTCCAGGAAGACAAGAGAAGAGGTGATTTCTCTTCACAGGAAGGGCAATGGCTATAAGAAGATTGCAAAGATGTTAAACATACCAGAGACACCTTAGGAAGCATCATTCGCAAATTCAAGGCAAAGGGCACTGTTGAAACGCTACCTGGTCGTGGCAGAAAGAAGAATGCTGACTTCGACTGCTGTGCGCTACCTGAAGCGTAGAGTGGAGAGAAGTCCCCGTGTGACTGCTGAGGAACTGAGAAAAGATTTGTCAGATGTTGGGTACAGAAGTTTCAGCCCAGACAATAAGACGCACACTGCGTAATGAAGGCCTCCGTGCCAGAACTCCCCAGCGTACCCCCCTTGCTGTCTCCAAAGAATAAGAAGAGTCGACTGCAGTATGCCAAAAGCCATGTGGACAAACCACAAAAGTTTGTGGGATAGTGTTCTGTGGACTGATGAAACAAAATTAGAACTGTTTGGGCCCATGGATCAACGCTATGTTTGGAGGAGGAAGAACAAGGCCTATGATGAAAAGAACACCTTGCCTACTGTGAAGCATGGTGGAGGGTCCAATCATGCTTTGGGGCTTGTTTTGCTTCTGCAGGTACAGGGAAGCTTCAGCGTGTGCAAGGTACCATGAATTCTCTTCAGTACCAGGAGATATTGGATGGAAACGTGATGCAGTCCGTCACACACCTGAGGCTTGGGAGACGTTGGACCTTCAACAGGACAATGATCCCAAGCATACCTCCAAGTCCACTAGAGCATGGTTGCAGAGGAAAGGCTGGAACATTTTGGAGTGGCCATCGCAGTCACCAGACTTAAAATCCGATTGAGAACCTCTGGTGGGACTTAAAGAACAAGCAGTTGCAGTGCGCAAGCCTAAGAATGTGTGACTGAACGGAGGCCTTTGCCCATGAAGAATGGGCGAAGAATACCCGTAGATCGCTGCAAGACACTTCGTGTCCAGCTATGCTTCCACGTTAAAAGCTGTTATAACTGTAAAAGGATGCTGTACTAAGTACTAAGATTGAATGTCACTTGGGGGTTGAATAAAACTGATAATGCTGTGAGCACAGAAAAGACATTTGTGGTTCAGCCCAATTTCATTATAACTGTTTATGTATATAATTGTCTGACCTACAAGTGCCTCTTTAATGTAAATGTAAGCAAGATGACTGAATGATCAAAAGCAATGTCAAACTGGCCAAAACACTCCAATTTTCAGTGGGGTTGAATAATTTGGCCACAACTGTAGATTGTAAGCCTCCAAGAGACAGGGCCCTCCTAACCCTCTTGTATTGGAACTGTATTGTTGCTGTATTGTCTCCTGTTATATTAGTAAAGTGCTGAGCAAACTGTTGGCGGCTACATAAATACTGTATAATAATAATAATAATAATAATAATGGTATAGAATAAAACAATGTTTTTTAAATCAGCTAAATAAATCACTGCTTGCGCAATGTGGACACTTTCTATTGGTTGTTCAGTGCTGTGGTTCTCTCATGATTCAGAAGACTGTAGGCATTACGGTGAACATCAGGGAACCGCCAAAACAGGCCGTGCTAAATTACTGATCCCATGCACCTGAAAAAAGGAACCAGATGGGTATCCAAACAGCAAACAAGTTTTTTATCTTAATGCATTCACTGTATTAAGGTAAAAAATCTTCCACTAATTGTTCCCCACCCCCTTCCCTAAATACTTACCTGAGCCCTGTATAGATCCAGAGATGTGCCCATCTGCAACAAAGCTGGTTCTCTCTCTCCCCTCTCACAAGCTCAGAGACAGTAGTGGGAGCCATTGGCTCTTGTTGCTGTCAATCAAATGCTGTGAGGATAGGGGTGGGGCCAAGCAATGCTGTGAGCGTTTATAGCTGCACACAGCCTGGCCTGGGAGCAAGCCCACAGGTGCACCACCTAGGAAGCAGCTTCCTATGGGGATGCACAGAGAAGAGAAGGAGCCAAGAGCGCTGGCAAAGGACCCCAGAAGAGGAGGTTCAAGACAACTCTGTGTGATAGCATGGTACAGAGCAGATAAGTATAACTTGTTTGGTGTTTTAAAAAAATATATCCTTTATTATTATACAGTATTTATAAAGCGCCAATAGTTCGCTCAGCGCTGCAACCACCTTTACAACCACTTTAGGTGTTTATAAGTGCTGATATAGTGGTAACAAGACCAGAAAGTACTTTGGTGCGAACCCCAGCTGTCATTAACAAATACAATTGAGAGCTAACACAAAATGTGGCATATTGGCTGTCATAATAGAGCAGGTAAGTAAAATATGTTTGTTATTAAGAAAAAAAAAACAGCCCTTACAACCGCTTTAAGTGTGTAGAGGACTGAGAGCTAGCAGCCTTGCAAAGTGGCGAGTATTGCCCTCATAATGGAAAATATTTATTTTATATGTCCTCTGCACGAGGCATTATGTCTGGAAATGTTAATATACACATTGCAGGTGGGAAG